GGATTGGAGAAGAAGCCGAGAGAGATGATAGAGAGCACAGTTAGGAGGCTTTCCCGCCATGCTGGTGAAGTGGGAAGGTCCTGAGCCACAGTCACAGGAGGACGATGGAGACGTACATAGAGTCAAGAATCACAGAAGCAGCGGGGACTGGTTGGATGTGGGTGATTGTCAGAGGCAGGAGGCAGGGATGATGCCAAAAAACTAGATGATGGCAAATGGTTCATTGAAATACGGAATTCAAAAGAGTAAGAACGGGTTTGGGGTGCAGTAGAAAATGGATTCAGCTTTGGGCATGTTGGGTCTAAGAACACCTGTGGGCTATCTGGATGGAATGCCCAACAAATACCTAGATTTATGGGTTTGGAACCCAGGAGATAGATCTCAGTAAATGATAAAGAGTTGAGAGTCATTGGCTTGTAGATTCATTCACCTACTCATTCAATAAATATTCACTTACTAACCTGCTTTGTCTCAGGCATTAAGTATACAATGGTAAACAAAAATATTATTTTAGTTTTCACAAATATCACAGTCTAGACTTTTAGTTGATGACATGGAGGTAGATAAAATAACTTAGGAAATAGACACCCCCCACCACCTGCACACACATATAAGGAGAGATGAGCACAGACCCTGGAGAACACCAGCATTTAAGAGGTGGACACAAGAAAAGGGGCAACCAGGAAAGGGTGGTAATTTGAATAAATGAACGCAGGGGTCTTCCCAATTCCCAAGTCCTTGCACCAAACTCAGCTTAGCCTTTAAAATATATTGCTGGCTTTTTTTTGGTGGCAGGATTAAATTGCATGTGTTTACATTCACCCTGTACAGAAATTCATGTTAGTTCATCCTTAAAATAAGGAATTTCAAAGATTGGAACTGAAACAAGTATCGGCCTGTAAGTCAAGTAAAGAAGGTAGGGATGAGCAGGAGCTAGAGATCAACCCAGATTTTCCTATTCATCTATGAATTTCCTTGTTATTGTTCTATGTGTTTTAAGTCAACCTTAATGTACATTGTGGTTAGATTTCCTTTGCTGTGATCTGTGGGATAAATGTAATGTTGATGGTCTCCCTATAAGAAAGAGATGTCGTGGTCTGTTTTGCCAAGACCTCATTAGAGCATTTTATTTATTTATTAATTTTTTTTAACTTCTCAGGTCTCTTAATCTAAGAGACAGCATCTTAGGTGCTTACCAAAGCCAACTGAATACCTGGGTGTGGGTGGTTTTGAGAGGTGACATTTCTTGAGCACTTTGATGGTAAAATTTTGCCATTTTATTTCAAAAAGCAGTTTACAATTATTGTCTATCCTAAAACTTAGAACTGTTTCATCTCAAATACCATAGATTATGTGTTTGATATAAAAGTTAACTGAAAATTTTAAAAATCTCAGTAGAAATTTCTTATGCAAAAATCCAGTATAACCAAAAAAAAGACAAGTAATTTGCAGGTCCATTTATACTCCTCCAAAACATGGCAACTTTTTGCATGTGTTTATGTGTATGACATTTAGTAAATGTACTGGTGGATATACAGTGCCACAGGTAAACTTGCTTTCCCTCAGTAGTGCATGAAATCCAGCTTTTATTAATAACGCAAACTTTGTTTATGGATTGTTATATATTCAGATTGGTCTATTTTCTTTTATTGCATTTTCTCAAGGTATCTTTCCTGTGTCAAAGAACAATTATTTCAAAAATCCCTTCAACCAACAATTTGTTGACCCAGATTTTAAAGCAGGGAAGGACTAAGCTGACCTTGGAGTGATCTCTCAACTAGAATCTACCTGTGTGAGAGTCATAGAATCAGAAAATTGTACAGGCAGACACGGAAACTACATATCATAGATTATGTGTTCCTTGTCGTTTATAAGTTCTATGTTTCTGAATATATCATAAAATTAAATGAGTAATTGGTGATCGACATGATACCAGGTGTCTTAAAGGGAATTAATTGCATCCAGCAAAAATGAAGCAGAAACAAAGTTCAAAGATTAATCAATGTTTGAACCATGGATTTATTACCTTTTCTCAAAAAAATCAATGGACACTAAAAACATTTGGTGTGTGTAAATAATCTGAATTTTTATTTGTGCTCAAAAGAATTTGTTTTCCTGTTTTGTGGGTTGGGGCTTGCTTTTTCTAGTCTGACTTTTTAAAAATTCACCCTGTGGTGCCTCCAGAAAATAACATCTTTAAATCTTGTTTGAGTTAAATGAATAGATAACTAATTCCAATCAGATGTTTCTTTAGAGAATAATGTTTAAAAAACTATTATGGAATGCAGCTCTCCTAGTGACTCTCAGATATGCTGTTTTTATCCCAATTGTTAAGGTCTTAGAGGTCACCCAAGGTAACTATTTATTTTAAATTGTCTTTTGTTTCAGATTTCCTGTTGAATTTTTTTTAACCATTTCAAAAATCAGCCAGTTGTTGTACCATAGCTTTGCACAACCTTGAAATTCAAACTACAAATCTATCTGCATAGCTAAATGACTGTGCCCTCCCACATAAACCCTAAGGAGAGCAGAGAAGGAGATGAGGCACCACATGTGTTAATCATAATGAAACTAATATTTAAAGCTCTGTTGTCAAATGTCTTGTATTTATGACACTTTGTTTTCTTTTGTTTTTGTCTCCCCAGGACATTTGGGCTTCCAGGACAGTTTTGTCACATCAGGTGTTTTTAGTGTGACTGAGCTAGTAAGAGTGTCACAGAGTAAGTAGAATTTTGCTTTCATGTGGTACAGATTTGCCTTGGTTGGTGCTTGCTTTCTGC